AGAGACTGGGACACTCCTGCATTGCTGGTGGGACTGCAAAATGGTCCAAACTCTCTGGAAAGCAATATGGCGTTTCCTAAGAAGGTTGAAAATAGAAATACCTTATGATCCAGTAATTCCTCTACTTGGTATTTACCCACAAAAAAAACGAGCCACAAGAAGGTATATGCACACCAATGTTCATAGCAGCACTATTTACAATAGCAAAAAAAGGAGACAGCCAAAGTGCCCATCAACTGAAGAATGGATAAACTGTGGTACATACACACAATGGAATATTATGCTACCTTAAAGAATAACAAGGAAGCGGCAATTCACTGCATAACATGGATGAACCTTGAGGACATTATGTTGAGTGAAATTAGCCAGTCACAAAAAGAGAAATACTGCACAGGACCACTACTGTAAAAGACTAAGAAAAAGAACCCATACTAAAGGGGGTGTGGGGAATTCTTTGTTGATTGCTGGGAAGTTGAGGGTGGGTGAGGGGAGGGAGGGGAAGGTGGAGCACAGGGTAGGGATGACACACAGGAAATTTTGGGTGCTGGGGAAGGGGGTAATATATGAGTAGGGAGAGGGGAATGGAAGAACAAAGCAGATGGGAGAACAATTAGGCATGTTTGAATGGACTAAGTGGGACAAAGGTAAAGAATGATGTATGCACAACCTTGGAACTACAGGGCTCTGGGATACAGAGATTGAGACATGGTTGGAATGGAGAAAAGGGGCGGAATAATGTTAAGGTGCTTGGCTGTATTTTGAATCTTGATTTTCCTTGCATTATAATATGAAATAGACACTGGATGGGGAGAGAAAGGAATAGTCAGAAACATTCCCATAGAAAGCTTGTAAGTCTGTCTTCTGCCTATAACTGATTGGAATACCTAAAATGAGGTTACAACGTGCCCAATGGAGGAGGCTTCCTGTGGTGCCTCTGCAATACATAAGACTATAGGTAGAAGTCTGAACCACATCCAGATCTCCAGAGATGGGAAATTTCCACTTGAAAGGACGAGCAGATCAGCCTGGAGCAGCTAGAGGAACATAAGATACTTCTTGAAAGAAAGAACTACAGGAAAAGTACAAAATAAAGGCAGATGGACTGTTACTACAAGAACAAACAAGTTGCTTGCCCAGGAAACATCAAGGCAAGTGGTCAGGTCCCCTCAGTGCAAACCCCCTTCCAAGACTAAGACTCAATGGGAATACATGCTCTGATTGGTGACCACGCTCATCACCGATAAGGGGAAGTGAGGGAAAAACAGCAATGAAGTGGCGAGCTAAGCCCTACAATGTGGAGAGTGAAGCATGCAGCTGATAAAGAGAGAGGGCATATGCACAAGAACACCCACAGTTGCAGATAATACCCACTTGACCTGCCTTCAATGACTGGATGATCAGAGCTCAACCAGAAGAAGAAAGAAGATGAAAAAAAGAGTAATCTGATACAATTTGATAAACTTGACCTACACCTATGTATGCAGTAGCTCAAAAGAGGGAACAAATCCTTACAGCAAGAATCATTCCCACCCCCTCCACACACACAGGAGACAGGGATGGGCAACTTGGACATTGGTTACCCAAAATGGGGGGGGAGGTAGGCTACAAAGGCAAGAAGTGACTGGCTTACAAGGTTTCAAGAGGGAACCTAGAGCCAAGGGTCCTGGAGGAAGGCAGAATTTCCAGTGAGTAGTATCCAATCTGTCTAGGCGGAGCTGAAGAAATGAAATGCAGATGGGTATCTTGTGATACAATAGGGAAT